TACCTGTTGGCCATCTGTATGTTTTTAGAAAAATGTCTTTTCAGTACCTCTGCCCATTTCTAATCAGATTCTTTTTTTCTTTTTTCTTTTTTTTTTCGCTTTTGAAGTTGTATGAGTTCTTTATAGATATTGGGCATTAACCTCTTCTTAGATACATGAGTTGCAAATATTTTCTCCCATTTCTTATGTTGCCTTTTCATTGGATTTTTATTATTATACAATGCCTTTCAAGAATCAGGCAGGACTCCCAGAGTAAATCAGATTTACTCCTGCCCCTGGTTATGAGGGTTTTTGTGTCCTTCTAATGTCAGCAGTGACTGATGAGGAAACTGAGACTGAGAGGTTACTGTCCAGGTTATTCACAGCTGATGCCACCCGGATGCCCAGCTCTGAGAATAGACCTGGTAGTGTTTCTGCTAGAGCATATGGGGATTTACTTCTGTTCCCCTTGTTTGGAATTCTGGAGCCTTGGTGCATTCCATTTTGAGTTCTGTTACATCAATGGGGGTGGAAACACTGGATGGAGCCAGTGGAAAGGACTGATTACCCATCCTCTTACCCTAAGCTACAGGCCAGTGCCTAGAGGACTTAGGGGCCATGAATACTCTTCTACTGTCAGCCAGATTGCCTCCTTTACAATTTCTTATTGCTTAGTCCAAGGGAACTGGATAAACTGAGATATTTGAAGGACCTCTCTTTGAGGCACCTTTCAATAGGAAGTTTGGCAGTGGTCATTTGAATGAATAAGTAGGGTAATGGTTATATGTTTTATCTTTGCAAAAGCATCATCATCTGACTCCCAGGATCCTCTGGGAAGAGGAAAAGTATACTCAGGTCCTCTGGAAGGGGGTGCAATGGGAGGAACATATTTTTCTTTCCTGGGTTGGGCCATGTATCCACTCATGGGAGTGGTGGGTATGTTGACTTTAAAGTTTGAATAGTCTGTTATTTTTGACAGGTGATGGAACTAAATCCTGCTGGTCTGTGTTCTCTGTGGAATGCAATATGTGTATAAATAAATGATGAGTGCAATATGGATATAAAAATCAAGCAGTACATCACTGTCTTGACTAATGCTATGAATTTTACACTAGGTCTTTACTAACCCAACACAGAGCAATGGATTCTTATTCTGCTTCTCTATGAAGAAGACAGTCCCTTTAGAAAAATACACAAACACTCTTGTTTTTATATCCTTATTTTCCACAACCTTGGGCTGAAATGAAATCCCTTTTGTAGATTTTAAAGGTTAATGTCTAGATAGCATAGAAGACAGCACTTGTGGAAACAGCACTTACCCTGGAATCGGACGGCATTGGTTTGAATTCTGGCTAATTGGGTGATTTCGGACAAGAACCTTTCTGACTCTCCCAGGGTTTTTGCAAATATAAGTGAACTAATTTACATGAAAGTGATTTATAAGTTTAAAAATTCACAAATGTGTTACATGAATATTAGCTGTTCTTCATATGTTATTTCCGTCATCTATTGAATCTGCTATAATAGTAGCCTAGGGTTGCTTTTCATAGGCTCTTGTTGGATGTGATACAATAGAGGCTCTGCGTGGCCTCGTGGAGCCTGCAGACTAGTCGGGCGATGAGCCATGAGCACAAACAATGATGACGGCAAGGGAAGGAGGGAGAAGTGTCATGAAAGACACTGGTGCCAGACTTTCTGCCCTAGGCTCCCAACGGAAAAACAGAAGAGGGCACTCCATCAACATAATATAGGAGCCCACCCCACACCCCACACGGTCCTTCCTCCACTGAGGTGCATTAGCTGCAGGAACTGTCCCCACTGCACGTTCTTTGTTTACTTTCTTTATCCAAGAGGATTCTTAAAAAGCCCAGGCCAGATTTGTTTGGCTCTGGGCTTGTGAGCCCAGTGAAGATGCCAGGTGGGAGGGTGGGAGGAAACGGGGGCCTGCGATGACAGAGGAGAGCAGGGAAGCCAGATGGTGAGACCCGGAGCCAGGAAACTTCCAACTACACAGGGTGGTTAGCCTGGGCTTGTTGGCCTATCCCACCAGAAATCACGCTACATGGTCACTGCAGGGGCCAACTAGAGGTGAGATGCTGCATACTTTATAGACTTTGTAGAGATTTTAGTGGAGCCAGAGAGAAACAGTGGTGGCAGTGTCTAGGGGTTACCTGGCAACTAGTACATTCCCACAAACTCACCTGGCTCACTTTGGGTCAGTGCAGAGAGGGAGCATGCCTTTGTTTAGGCCTTTGGGATTCAGGGCAGAGCTATCAGTATGCTCACCAAATCAGCCTGGATATTTTTAATTTAAAAAAAAAATCTATTGAGCATATACTATGTGCCAGGCCTGTCCTAGTCTGAGAGGACACGAAGTTAAGAAAGACACAATATTTTCACAAAAAGCTCACACAAAGCAGAGAGTTTCAGGCACAGCTCAACCCAGTAAAGATCTGGCTGTGTGATAGGCTGTAAAAACATAAAAAAAAAGGTAGAAGAGAGGCCAGAAGACTAAGGACAGGTGTGTGTGTGTTGGGGGGGAGGGGGGAGACTAAACAGAAACGGTAACATTTCAGCCTGGCCTTGAAGGATTTTAACAGACTGGGGCCGGGAAGAAGGGGTTCCAGGCAGAAAAGCCATGGGAACCAAGCCTTACAAGCCTGCGCTGCCTTTTCAGGAATAGTGAGAAGTGGGCTGCGGTGGGAGCATGACCGAGGTGGGCAGCCGGCGAGCAAGGGGTGGATAGGACTGATGGAAGGTAAGGCTTGGAAAGAAAGGTCCAGATCAGACCGTGCAAGACTTTGAAGGCCACGTTCGCTGTGTGTACCTCATTAGCAGCAGGTGGAGGAGGCTGTGGAGGCAGAGGTCACCGCCTGCTTAAAGTCCCCTTTCTCGAGGCCTTGCTTGAAACTTCCCTGGACTTCCCCAGAGCATAGTTGAAAAACTAAGACACATACATGTGAAATAATAAAGAAAACAACATACAGATGCACCACTGGGGCATAAGAAGTTTGGGCTCGTGGAGCAGACAGGTCTGGGCTCCAGCCCTGGCTTTGTTTCTTAAACTTGCACAAGTGGTTTAGCTTTTCAATTGAGGATGAAAATACATGTTCTGCCTGCTTCTCAGAAGAGTTGTAAAGATTATGAGGAAGTATACAGGGGTGCTTGAAAATTAGAAAGTGTTCTACAAATATTACTCCCTGTAGTTATTATTTTAGGTTTGGAAGTGATCAGATCAATACATGTTTTAGAAGGATGACTCTAATAGCTGTGAGGTCAAGGAAATGAAGGGAAGAGAGGCAGGTGGTAGAGAGGCCAGGTGGGTGCTACTGAAATGGTCCAGGTAGGAGAGGGTGGGGTCCTGGACCAAGGCAGTGAGGATGAAGAGGGAGGGTGGATCTAGTGTCCTTCGAAAGACAGAACCAAGACACAATTGACACTAATTGGGTAGGAGGGATACAAAGAAGAAAAGGAGCCAAAGTTAAGGACTTTGGTAGGTCCCTAAAGGCACCATGAACGAAGCCAGCCCCTCGTCACTTTCTGATTGCTGAAATCCATAAACAAAGGTGGGGAAAGGAGGTACCCCAGGGCTTGAATTTGTCATCTTGTCACTCACTGGCCCTGGCACTCTTCATTTTGACCCTCTCCCTTTCCATACCCTTAGTAGAACCCACTGAACCTGAAGCCAAACCCAGGAGAATTTCTCCTTCTATCATTCCTTACACCCGTGCCCTCAGCCTGATGGTGACCATTATAAGGTGTCTGTGCCGAGGACTCCATCTCTGTCTTGGCAGGAGGGACCTGATGAGGTCCCTCCCATTGCCCTGCACAGGGCCAGGAGCATGTCCCTCAGCCTCTGGCTCATTTCTTCCTCCCTGGGTATGAGGGAGTAATTGTCAGGACCCACACTGAGTACTGGAGTCCTTCATCTTCAAGGGGCACCTCTTTGTTTATGGGGAACTCCTTGACAGCTTCCAGAGCAGTGGGGGAGTGCCTGTGCTACGGCTGGGAGGTGCCACGTTAGCCAGGAGAGTTCTTGCCTGGAAGGGTGCTTGGTGCAGGTGGTTTCTGGAGGTCTACTAGCAAATGAAATAGTTCCTGATCCCTATTTGCTCACCCATTGAATTAAATCATCTCCCTTCTGGCAGGCAACACTCATTCCTCTTCTCTCATTTCCCATCAGGCTTTAGTCTCTTGTCTTCTGCCACAGAGTTGTAGTCCCCTGTGCCCATTGCTGGGCTCTGTCTCCTCCCTGACTCTTACCTTGGCTTTCCCTCTGTCTCACCATCTCCCCTCCACTCTGTCCACCTTCCCACTATTTTTCTCCTGGGGCCCAGGTGCCCTTCTCCTGCTCCTTTCCTTATATCCTTTACCAGCCATCTTCAGATAGCATGTCAGCCCTTCAGCGCCACTGGTCTTCAGTGACAGCCATTATTGAGCACCACAGCATACAGGAGCCCAGAGGAGGCACAGCGCTCTGGTTAGAGTGCAGACCCCAGCAAGTTTCTCTCCTCTCTAAGCCGTGTTTCCTCTATCTGTTCAACAGGAGTTTTAATAGTGCTTACTTCATAGGGCAGGTGTGGGGATTAAATGAGTTAATGGGTCTGAAAAATTTCTAACCTAGAATAAGCAGCCAATAGACATTAATCACTATTGTAATTAAAAGCTAAAGAGTAGCCGTGCCCCTCAGAAAGCTGAGGGCCTCCGTTATAGCTGGGGGTGCGGAACATAGAGCATTTTGAGACCTGGTTTGTTCTGTGACTAAGAAAACACCTTCCCAAATAGAGCAAGGAGAAGGTGTTAGTGCTGATTAAATGACACTGATCTGGGGAGGTCCCTGCGCAGGCCGGATGAGGTGAGTTTCTGAGCAACCCTTTGAGGAGGTCATAGGTGCAGCCTGGGGCCAAGGAAGGGGAAAGGGGGCACCCAGAGGTGTCTGCTCACACTCTCTCCTCGCTTCGCCCTTGCTCCTGGTCCCGGCACTGCCCGAACCTAGTGAATCGTATCTTCCTTGCCCACAGGGAATTTGCCAAGGAGAGGGAGAGAGTGGAGAACCGGAGGGCCTTCATGAAACTGCGGCGCCAGCAGCAGATTGAGCGGGAGCTGAATGGGTACCGCGCCTGGATCGACAAAGCAGGTGAGACTGGCAGGCCGGGGCGGCTGGTCACAGTGGGCACCCAGGTGGCAGGGACCTTCCTGCTGCTCACGCCCAACACCTCCATGCAAAGGGGCAGCCCAGACCAGAGCAGGGAGAAGCTCTAGATGCCTCACTTGCTTTGGGGTTCCCTGCGAGTCCCCCTTTCCTTTATCTGGCGTCTACCAGTCCCTGTTCTTCTGTTAACCACCTTCATGAGACAGGCACTTCAGCAAGGTGCACTGAGTCAAAGGTAACGTATCCCAGTCCTGGGGCTGAGTTTGGGCTGGTGACACTTTGTACTAATAACAACCCATTCATTCCACAACTGTTTATTTTGGCTTCCTTTGTGCCAGGTCCTGTTCCAGGCACCTGGGTACAGCAGTGAGCCAAAGCTCTACTCTTGTGGAGCTCGTTACCCTCTAGTTGGGGAAGGCGGTGGTGAACAAAATTATACATAAGTAACTTGTAAGAAGATCCAATGAAAACAGATCCAGGTAGGGCCATGGACCTTAGGGGAAGTTAGTGGTTTTAAATAGAGGGGTCAAGGTAGACCTACTTGGGGGACACTTGAGGGAGATGAGGGGGCCAGCCACAGGAAGATCTGAGGGAGGAATCTTAATGCCATGCCTGTAATGTGGGAGCAGCCAGGAGTGCTCCAGGGTCAGGAGGGGCTGAGCAAGGGGAGGGGGACGGGGCAAGATGAGGGTAATCACAGGGAGAGAGGGCAGTGGGTCGGGCATGACCAGTATTGTAAGGGAGGGTGAGGCAAGAACCACTGGAGGTTTTTAAACAGAGGAGGAACATGCTTTGATTTAAGATTTTGAAGGAGTGCTTGGTGGCTGCCTTAAAAATAGACAATAGGAGGACAAGGCCAGAAGCAGGGAGAACAATTGTGAAGCCATCCCAGTAGGCCAGGGAACAGATGATGTGAGAACTGGTTTTGCCTGTTTCCTGAGCTGTCACCAGTTCCCCCCTCTGTGGCTCCGCATCAGGAATGATTCTCGCCCAGCCCTGAGCGTAGGTCCAAATCCACCAGGGTTGCGTTAGCCCACGTTGCTGCCAGTTCCGAGTGGGACTGTGGCTCAGCTGTGTATAAGGGACATCGATCACCTCATCTCTGTCAGTAAAAAAGGCTGCATTCGCTTGCCTTGCTGTTTTAAAGGCTGGATTGCATTGGTCCCATTTATCTTCATTCTCTTCCTGAGCAAAGAGTAAATTTTTTAAATAAAAAATTACACGCGACAGTCAGCACCTTTTCTCTATTCCTGGTGTAGGAACCACAGCACAACTGTGAGGTCTCCCGGGAAAAATTTGGAATCTGATTTGCTGCTTAGTTGCCCGAGCCTTACTCTTCTAGAAGAGCTTTGGGATGACGCTGTGACACCCATTCTGTCCAATACATGAAGTGCTCTCTCTGCTCCGGAGTCAATGCCTAATTATCCATCGGGGGTGAGAGAGAGTGTGTGATTGAAAATACTGTTTCAAAGCCAGATGACAATCACCACCCCCTCTTCGGGACTATCTGCTGGTAGCCTAAGCCACTCGTATTGACTGTGCTTTGTCTTTCACCCTTTCCCCAGCAAGGCTCTTGAGTGGAGGTGAACCCTCCCCTCTTCCTAGAATGGTAGCTCAGCCTTACTGAGCAGATTTGCCACCAGGCCAGGCAGGCAGCTTGAAGTCCCAACTGCCATTGGCTTCCTGGATGGAGTTGCCATCTGACAGACCACCCCAGCGAGTGGGCGGCGGCAGAAGTGAGAAAGAACCCTCCTGCCCTTACCTCCGAGCACTTAGGGTCAGGTGGCCCCAGGGTGCTGCTCTCTGTAGCTCTGCTTCTCAAATCTGTGCAGGATTGTAAGGCTGCACTTTCTTCCAGTTGGCAAAGCCAGTTCTCTCCTTCTAAGAAAAAAGACGCACTGCGCCGTCAACCTGTGCTTCCTGGCCCTTCCCTGTGCAAATGGAGCGTGAGTGAATCAGAGACATATGGGTTACATTTCCCTGGAAAGACATTCTCAAGTTCGAAAGCAAAGTTGGCAAAAGGCATTGGGGAGGGGGGAGGTTTCAGCACATCCAGCGCTTCCCAGAGGCTCAGTAGCTCCACACACCTCCCTCTGCTTTGGGGGTCCTCAGATCTGCCCACCCCAAAGCCCAGTCACTATACAAAGCCAACAAGACTCTGGCTAAGGTCACTCAGGTTGCTAGGAGGTATTTTAACAGGCACCTATTTTAAAAGGTTGCCCTCAAACTGTACAGTCCAATAACTTTAAAACCCTCTTTGTCTGCATCAAGGAGCATCCCGCCAATAACACTTAACATGCTAACTTAGAGTTTCGCCCGCGGCTATACTTAAAAAAGGAAGCTAAACATTAGGACTTGGTATAATGGCCATCCTTCGTGGTACCCTCCAAGCTCAAAATGCCCCCTCCCTGGGAAATACATTCATTATATGCTCTTGATTTTATATGCAGGTGGAATTGTGGTAATGACTTTACCCTCTTCTGCTTGCCCTTGAACTTGTTACAAGTGCTTAAATTAAACCACCCTTTAACAGGGCCTGCTGCAAGCTTTCTCCCGGCAGCTGGAATCCTCGGCAATGATTGCTTAGGTCCCTAAACTGGTCTATTTTGGGCCAAGTGAGGGTAGGGCCAAGTAGGGTACTCTGAGTCCCACCAGACATGGACTATTTTGTTGGCAAGTTTGGAGGGATGCTCGTGAGGCTAATTCTAACAAGTCTTAGAAAATCGTATCCTACCTATAACGGCATCTTGGTGGAGTACAGGGCTGCGTTTGGGGAGGCCAGGGGACTGTGTGGTTCTTTTCCAAACACCAACAACCAAATATGTTGCTCCACCACCATCCAGTCCTGCCATTTTTCGAACTAATCCGATACCCAACAATTCAATCAGTTCTGACACTGGGTACTACCTGGAGTTAGTGCACACTCCACAGGTAAAAGACTCAGTCTCACCAGCCTGCCCCCACGTCAGAGGCCAGCCACAAGCAGAGCCCCCCGATGACCTGCATTTCTACGCTACAAACTCAGAGGGTCCCAGGTTTGATAATTCACTAGAACAACTTCCAGAGCTCAGGAAAAACTATACTTACTCCTACAGCTTATTAGAAAGGGTACAACTCAGGGACAGCCAAAATGAAGAAAGAAACAGATCAAGGTGTGGGAGCAGAGGTCGGGGGGTACAGAGTTTCCATGCTCTCTATCCACACATGCCATCCTCTCAGTACCCTGGTGTGGTCACCAACCCAGCAGCTCCCTGAGCCCCCGTTTAGGTTCTGTGAAGGTTTCATCACATTGGCATGATTGATTGATTCATTGGCCTTTGGTGATTGAATAATAACTAGCCCCTCTCCCTTCCCAGGAGGTGGGAGGGGGACAGGGCTAAAAGCTATAACTTTCTAATCCTGAGGTTGGTTTTTCAACTGTCTAGGCCTCCCCCACAATGAGTCATCTCTTTAGCGTAAAAAAAACAGTAAATTCCAAGGGTTTGAATAGTTCTGTGCCAAGAGCAGATCATGAATAAAAACCAGTATCACAGGGACACATTCATGATGGTCCCAAGCGTGGTCAGCTCAGGCTCTGCTCAGCAAGGCGGATGGAGGATGGGAGGGATGGGAGGAAGCCGGCCCTCCAGCCCTGCTCTTGTCTCCGAGAGTGCATAGGCGTTGTCCCCTGCCTTGTCCTCACAAAGTAGACAGGCCAGGGCCCAAAACATGGTCTCACCTCCTGAATGAGTGGGTAGATGTTATGTTGCAGACAGAAGAAACTTAGGAAGCTCCCATTGCTGGAAAAGATTTAAGGGGTTAGGAAGGCAAGAACCTGAGTAGAAAAAAACAGAAATTGAAATTTTTCATTCCTGTCCATTTAGGGGGGTTTAGTTAAAAAAATCAGCTCTTCCTCTCATAAGTATCCTCCTGAACGAGCGTGTCAGACGCAGAGCTGTATTTTACCTTCATTGCCCAAGTGCCCGCACACTGAGTGGGAACTTTCGTTCCGATGTGTCTCGGGGGCTCGAGCCGTGACCTCAATGGCTTTCTGCTGCCTGCGACTGACTATGATCCTTTTTTCCCATCTCTGTTGCCCTGGAGCCCATGCCCTCCCTGAGGGATCTTCATTTTGCAAAATAATTTGCCATTTACAGATAACTGAGTAAACCGTTTGTTTCCATGTAGAGGAAGTCATGCTTGCTGAGGAAAATAAAAACTCTGGAACGTCGGCCTTGGAAGGTAAGGCTCCAGTCAGCGCCTCGGCCTACTGGCGGTGCCCCCTCTTATGAGCGGCTGTCCCTCTCAATCAGAAGAAAGAAAGAAAGAAAGAAAAGAGGGGCGCTCTGGGATTTGAAACCCTAGTCTCTCTGTCATAAAATCCTTTAAAAGGAAGGGAATTGAGTCACAAATTTAAATGCTTTTTAAAGTGATGAAAACCACATCCAAGAGTTACTTGGTTCTAGGGTGTGTCATTGAGAGCGTGTAATAAAAAGTCCAACATACAACCCATGGCATATAAAGGGGTCCTCTTTGAACATCTGTGGGGATCCTCTTGGGACCACTTTCATTCCCAGGAAGTGGCCTCGCGTGTGAGGAGCCAGCGCAGATAGCTATGGAGTGAGTGCCTGTTTCTCTCCTGCGTGGAGATAACTCTAGCGCGGATTCCAGAGCCCTTGTGTTTCACAGGTACCCCTGAGCATGGGTCAGGTCTCTGTAGACATGTGCGACTTCTGTAACTCTGGCCCAGATATTTCAGGGCAGTTGCCTGTGTCACAGAGGCCTCTGGCCCATAGTCCTCAGTTTTGAGCCGAATGACCTGGTTGCCCATGTTCTCACCGCCCCCCGTGTCCTGGCACAGTGCTTCGACGGGCCACCATCAAACGCAGCCGCACAGAGGCCATGACCCGAGACTCCAGCGACGAGCACTGTGTTGACATCTCCTCTGTGGGTGAGTGGCACCAGCTAGGTCTTTTAGTTCTCTGAATCTCCCATAAAGAGGAAGAGCCTGTCTTTTGAGAAGCATCACAGGGAAGAAGAGAATCCAAAGAATCCAGAACCAAGGGTTGTAATTAGAGAAAGGTGTGGGGATGTAAACTACAGTGACTTAGAAGAAAATGGACCAGGGGATACTGTTTGCATGAAACATGGGCTTAGGGCTAAGAATCCAACGCAGATTCGTCACGTGTGGCCACGTGCTCCACTGGCCTGTCTTTCCTGTGTGGTAAAGGGAACCCACTCAGACATGTTCAGAGGATCTGAGGGTTCGTCACTCCTAGTAGCCCCCATTTGAGGACCTGCAATTATTTGCTTAACCACAGCAGCAGCCACCCCCTTCCATCGCCATCTTCCATGTGATATTTAAACAAATTCCTACTGACAACCCCTTAGCATGACAGGTGTTCAATCCCAGGTTCTCTTAGAGATTCTGGCTGATGGCAGGTATTTTCTCCCCAGAAAAAGGGGAGGACCTTCATCCACCTTGCCCTTTGAATGCCCCTTGCCACAGAGGGTGGGCATTTTGGCAGCTTCATGTTCCCTCCTTACGTCGCCCCCACAGGCACGCCCCTGGCCCGAGCCAGCATCAAAAGCGCAAAGGTGGACGGGGCCTCCTATTTCCGGCACAAGGAGAGGCTCCTGCGCATCTCTGTCCGCCACATGGTTAAATCCCAAGTGTTTTACTGGATCGTGCTGAGCCTGGTGGCTCTCAACACCGCCTGTGTGGCCATCGTCCATCACAACCAGCCCCAGTGGCTCACCCACCTCCTCTGTAAGTGACCCGTGTCTGCTGGCTCTCGGGGCAGCTGGACCGAGGTGCGAGTGTCGGAGAGCCAGGGGCGTGCTGGGCCTGGCAGTGGTTCTGTTCAGCCAGAGTTCTCCCTCAGGAGGCCAGAGCTGTCCCCATAACTATTCTGATCTGTCATACATTATTGAATCAAATTGAATCAAATCTTTGCCGATGGGTCAGTAAGATAGTGTTACCACCCGGGTTCTCTAAGGCGTTCACTTAGTATTTTAAGGAGGCTCAATGGTATAGGGAGTTTTGGTCACCAAAGTCCTTAGTGGAATAGGTACCTCTAATAGACCAAAACGGGGACTTCCAGGTTAGCTGTGGGTAAGGCTGTCCCTGGGGGTGAGTGGGCTCCAGGAGACTGTCATGGCTGGGTGTGCATAGGGCCAATCTGGCCCTCTCATCATAGATATGGTCTTTCCGAGAGCCACCTACCGTTTAAAGGGCAGTGGCAAACCCATCTCTTGAAGGAGAGCAGAGCTGACCTGTGGAGTGCCTGAGGCTCCTGCTGGGTCAGAGAATTTGGATGTCACTGGGTGTTGCCTGGCACTGACCTGCTATGGTCACTGACCGCACATGTGTGGGTCCTGCTGGTATTGAGGGCTCCACTGCAGGTGGGGGTGTTGGGCTGGGGGATACAGGAGCCTGCCATCGGGGAACAAATGTTCCTGCTTTTGATGCTTTCAGACTATGCAGAATTTTTGTTTCTGGGACTCTTCCTCTTGGAGATGTCCCTGAAGATGTATGGCATGGGGCCTCGCCTTTATTTTCACTCTTCATTCAACTGCTTTGACTTTGGGGTAAGTGCTCGGGAGCCCTCATGTCCTCCTGCTTCCTGTCGATATGCCGCGGGGTGAGATAAGCAGCTTGCTCGCTTGCCCAGCATGGAGCACTGAAATCAGAAATCATACAAGGGGACTAAACAAGATTAGCTGACAGGAGGTCAGGAATGAGTGAATCCTTGCCTTAGTAGGGTTGGTTGGTTGGTTTTAAGTTCTTTTATTTTTAATGTTTTTACTGAAGCATAACACACACCATAAAGGGCACACTTACATGGATAGCTCAGTGAATTTGACAAAGCGACCCACAGCCAGAGATTTGAACCACTTAGTATCCTGGAGGATGCCTGGGAGAGGAAGACAAAAGACTTGATTCCAGAAGGTGGTTCAGTAAAAAAAGAGAAGCTTATACATTTGGGTTTCTTTTCGTTCAGTTACAGTTGGGACAATTATCTAGATAGACCCTCATAGACATGCACATGGCTGTGCACACACACGTTATGTTAGAAAGTCCCCACAGTGCCTACTTCCTAGTGTTGATACGTAACTGTGCATATCGCTAACAGCCTTCATGTGCTTTCACATACACTTTTGTCCCCATGGCCTTCAGGAGCCCTGTCCGCTGTGTCACATGTCAGGATTAGCCTGCCCATTCTCAGAGGACATGTGTCCCAGTTCACATAGTCCATTACCAACAGTACTGGGTCACAAAACTTTGGGTTCCTGGGCCACTTCTCTCTGCCAGACTTCTTTTTCTGCCAAAATTTCAGTTACTTGCTAAGGATTTTGAGCACTTGCCAATCTGCATTTTAACTTGGAACATATGTTTCTGGGTATGGGCAAGTTTCAGCGTAACAACCAGTGAAACACCATTTTAACCTTAGTTTCTTTATCTGCATGTTTTCAGAATTGCTGTGAGGATGAATTTTGGTTATTTCTCCCCTGTGCAACGTATTAGACTACATAGTACACAATCAATAGGAGTATAATCAAAACAAAAAACAAACTTGGCCTTTAATTTGACACTGCTGATTCCTACAGCAGTCAGATTCTATCCCACCCAGTAGCACCATCACACTAGGCGGTGAGGGACCTGAGCGTCTGAAAGGTATTTATTATACAGGTGACTAAACCATTCTTGTGAGCACTGAATTCTAGAACAAGGAGAGAATGTGGGCCCTCTCTGAGATTTTTATATTGGAATGCAACCTGAAATTAATTCAGATGTTTCCTTGTTTTGAGGATGTCTCTTTTGTCCGTTTGTTCAAGGTGTTACAATGTAAGAACAGTTACTGGTTTTTATACTTGTGCAGAAGCGGTCACTTGTATACTTCGCCAAGGACTGAACAGCTGCCAGTAAACCAGTCCACAGTTTAAAGATTAAAGTTAACAAGGGGAGTGGAGAGCAGTGGGAAGAGACTTCAGAGTCTCACTTTTCTTTGACAGCCTTCTCAAATAGGTAGTCCTTTTAGAGGTGGGCTGGGTGGGGAGGGGAGAGTTTTCATTTCACCAGTGACAGCTGTTGCTTGCTGACTACCAGAATGTTCCTCTCTTCTCTTCCTCCTCTCCTTACTGTGACTGGGTTTGCCTCTTTAGGTCACAGTGGGCAGTATCTTTGAAGTAGTCTGGGCAATCTTCAGACCTGGGACATCTTTTGGAATCAGTGTCTTGCGAGCTCTCCGGCTTCTAAGAATATTTAAAATAACCAAGTAAGTGATCAGAATGTGGACTCTTCCCAACCGCCTTTGAGAGTGGAAGCTTCTCTCTGCCTTATTATAGTTCCTTCCATCCCTTCACGCCCCCCTTACCACATGTCCCCCTTCCCTATCACACCCTCCACTCCGTTCTTCAGCTCCTCCTCCAAAGATCAAACCAGAAGAAATATCTATGATGCCAAGTCCTGTGCCGCACCCCCAAGGGGAGCCACACTGTTGCTGCCATCGCTCCTTCCTACAAGGATAAAAAATGCAGCTCATTCATAGCCTGCCAGACAGATGTCCAGCTGGACTTGGGGATAACATGGTATCCACTGTTCACTGCTGTAATGTCGTCTGGGTTTTGTAGGTACTGGGCATCCCTACGGAATTTGGTGGTCTCCTTGATGAGTTCCATGAAGTCTATCATCAGTTTGCTCTTCCTACTCTTCCTCTTCATCGTTGTCTTTGCTCTCTTAGGAATGCAGCTGTTTGGAGGCAGGTAAGCACCAGCCAGCTTTCCATCCAAAGGAGCCTTAAAACTTCAGCCTGTGAGCCCCAGGGTCACTAATTCAGTCACCATGTTACCATCTTGTTTGCTCTTGTCCATGGCCCCAAATCAATCACTGTGTGTATCATGGAACAAGTGTCTCTGCTTGTAATCTTTTCACATTGTACAGGGTTCTTATTCCGGGGAACCCTTCCTCTGGAACTGTCCCTGAAATGTGCAGCACGGGGCCCTGTACCTCATATTCAGCCCAAACCCTATCTCATTACCCACGCCCCTCAAAGGCATGCTCTTCAAAGTGCACAGTCATAGTCTCTAATACCATCTTTACAAGTTACGCGGAATGGGGGCATGTAGGGAAGGGGCGTGTGTGGAGAAAGGGGGAAGACGTGATGAAAATGGCCTAACCTTGGGAAGGGAAAACTTGGTGCGTAAGAATTTTCATTCCATTCCCTCTGAATTTCCTTCTCAGGTTTAACTTTAATGATGGGACTCCTTCGGCAAACTTTGACACCTTTCCTGCAGCCATCATGACTGTGTTCCAGGTATGAGGCCAACTGGCAGGTTCCGTGAGGTCCCTGGGTGCACCCTGCAAGGTGATACGGGTTAGGAGAGTCCTACTCTTCCCCTCCAGGCTCCTCCCAGGCACCTGGGTACCTTGCTTGTTGAAGAATCGTCACCACAGTAATTCCTAGGACTTCTGTAGCTCTGTTCTGACCAATAATAGAACAGCCCCATTGTGATGACCTCATTGGCCTTCTCCCTACATTTGTGAGGTTGTAAGAGATATCAAATCCAAGATATTCAGTAACATATCTCATTTATGGTTTTCTGAAACTGGAAGCATCATCTAACATGTGATCATTTAATGAAGTACTTTTAATGCCCTCCCCCAAAGACTTTATAAATAATGGGGGGAATTCAAAATCAGTAATGTCTTAGACCCAAGAAAAATGCTGTTTAGCCAGAATCTGAGGCTGAACCAGAACCCAGTTTCTCAACCTGGTGCCCCTAAAGCTCTTTCCCACATGTTGCTGTCTCAGGAACTGTACCTTGGCAGCTCTGGTGACAGGTGGGGACTGACCAGACTACCTGGTCTGAGCGATTCCTGTAGGCCTGGCAAAGTGGAAATGGGAGGGACTCTCTAGTTTGAGGAATAGAATCTTTCCTTTTAATGCTCTTTTTCTATTTTAATGCCTAAAGTTCTCTTCCATATCAGAAGGAAGTTAGATTATTCATGGGAGTGACATTTTTTTCTCCCTGGCAGGATACCCAAGCAAGGGGGTAGATGGAAAAGACTCAGGCCCAGACTTTTCCCCTTTACATAGCCCCGTTTCCTCAACCAGCCCAGGTCTCTGACTTGCCTGTTGTTTGCTTTGCGTAGATCCTGACAGGTGAGGACTGGAATGAGGTGATGTACAATGGGATCCGCTCCCAGGGTGGGGTCAGCTCGGGCATGTGGTCAGCTATCTATTTCATTGTGCTCACCTTGTTTGGAAACTGTATCCTTTTAAAGATGCTCCTCTTTGCCCAGTCCAGCATTTGAGGAGAAGTGGGAGGAGGGAGGCAAGGGGGGAAGTGGTTGTGGAGGCGGCAGTGAAGGAGGAGGGTGGTGATGGTGGTGGTAGAACTGGACTGGGGCAGGGAGGGGGCACGGACAGTGCTCCATGTACTAAGAGAAACAAAGATCCATCTTAAAGGTTGTGTACACTAGTTGGGCAAAGGGGATAAATATGAAGAAGAAAGAACACCCTCTAAATCTAGAGCACACACAAATGGCTGGAGATACTATGAACTGGGGGAAAGAAGAGGAAGCGATCACTGTAGGCTGAAACAGTGGGCAGATCGTAATACTCATGAGTTAATTTCATGTTAACGTAGAACAGAGCCTGCCACGTAGTAAGATCTCAAAAACACTAGCAATATGATTAATGCTAATGCTACTAAGCATATCTAACACTGATATTGTGTTTGTGCTCTTCATGAGTCTCTGTATGTACTCAGTGCTTTACTAGCACCATAGAAGAAATGATTTGATCAAGATCAAAAATTACTCAACTGTAAAGGGAGAGCAGAAACCAAGTCCATTTAACTCCAAAGCGCATGTCTGGTCACAGGATCTAGATCAAGGAAGATGAGGTTTTAATCCCAGCAACTCTGCTTGCCAGCTGTGTGGTCTTGGGAAAGTGACTTGATCTCTCTGAGCTTCTAGTTTTCACATGTGAAAGGAGAATAACAGTATCTTCTATGTTAGTTATGAACAGTAAGTGAGATAATTTATTTGAATGGACCTTGTAAACTACAAACTTCTATAGGATCATTAGATGTTTGGGGGGAGTGGGACTGCCTTGAATTGGGGTTGGTAGAGTGAAAACGAAGAGCTGTTGTGATACAGCCGTGGTTGGCGTCTTCTACAATCTCCCGGAGAAAGGATGCCCCCTTAGGTTTCCTGGTAACTGATAGCAGCCAGAGCAGACTATAGACTGAAGAGACCCCATAAGAAGAAAGCTGTGTAGTGAGTCACGGGAATGGAAGGCCAGTCTGTCACAGTGGCACCTTGATTTCCTTTCACCCTGAGGCAGTCAGACCTGGACTTTCACGTGAGAACCAGTTCTTTAAGGTTCCAGAACACATGGGCCTAAAGACCGTTGGAAAAGTGGGACTTGAGAGGTTACAGCGTAGAATAGAAATGGGTGCGATAGTGATCTTGTGCACTCCGTGGCATTTTGTTAAATGAAATATGGAAGCAGTCCAGGATGAAAAGAATGGGAAAAACCAGTCAGCATCCCATTATTGCGAGCGGTCAGTGATGGGGTTGTGAGTTCTCGTTTCTTTCCATCTCGAAGAACAGTTTGCGTGACTGGTCTAGCTGGGCTTCATTTCCAGCCTCCCAGAAAGAGATGAGCTCCTGCATTGAGTTCCCTTCCCATCTTGTTGTTCAATGATCCTCTATTTGATATTGCTGTGAGGAGACATCATAGCCGTTTAAAGGCCTTCTCACTCCATTCATGTATTTATTTGTCCTGTGTAAAGAGATGATATATGGAAGGAGGGAAAGCATATTCTCCTTCCAACAGAGCTGTATAGTATCTCTGTCCCTCCTCCCACAACTCCTGCTTAAGTGACTTTTTGGGGTAGCTTCTAGTGTCCCCAGCAGAAATGATATGGAGATCCCCTCTCAGCCCGGCTGTGAAGTCACCTGCTTTTCTTACTTGCCCATCCTTAACCCATCACGCCAGACACGCTGCTGAATGTGTTCTTGGCCATCGCTGTGGACAATCTGGCCAATGCCCAGGAGCTGACCAAGGTAAGCATTGCTCTCTGGGGATGCAATGGTTCTCTAGGTGCCCTCTGGCCTTTGGGGCTCTCTGCATTGTCTGGTCCTTTCTGGGAGCTTTTGGACAATTGGAGAGCCACACGACCATGAAGGAAACCTGACTCACTTTCATTGAGTTCGATGAGCCTCAGACCAGTCTGGGTCTCCCATGGGATACATGAAATAACAGTTTAGTCACTGTGAACACTCAAGGGGGCCCTTTGCAGGAATGTAACCTGGAAAATAAAGAAAACACTCAACCCTGGGAACACTTAGCTGTGCAGGGAAAATGGTGTGGTGGGAGGCGCAGTCTCGGGGCTGTGCTTCAGAGGCTCTGTCTGGAAGGGCCCTGTTCCACCACTTCCAGACAGAACACCTGACAGGTGTCAGCTCGGGCCTGTGACCTCCACAGCTGTGTCCAGCTTCACTGAGGGCTGGGCTTGGCTTTGGCTTCCAAGGCTCTCCTGGGCAGCCTATGGACCAGGGAGGAGACCAGAGTTATGGCCATGCCAGGGCTAAGGAGGCCTGGCTAATGGCCATCTGCAGCCTCTCAGCCAGTCTCACCTCACTCTGCCTTGTTTCACCTCGCCCTTTGCACTCCTCACCCCTCCTGGTCTCCAGAACTCCTCCTTGGGAGAGCCAAGGGAGCCACCTCTTCTTCATGGGGGTCCCAGGCACAGCATGTCTTCTTTGTGTCTAGGATGAGCAGGAAGAAGAGGAGGCCTTCAACCAGAAGCATGCACTCCAGAAGGCCAAGGAGGTCAGCCCGATGTCCGCGCCCAACATGCCTTCTATCGAGTGAGTCAGCGGTCCCCACCTCCCTGCCCCCACACTCCTGTGCTCACAGGCAGTTAATCAATTCAAAAATCGTTATTATCTGAGGGCACCTACTCCATGCCAGGAAGTGCCCTTGAACACAGCAGTGAGCAAGACAGGCTCCGTGTTCTCGTGGAGCTTTTATTTCAGTGAGCAAGATCGATAATAAACACACAAGTGATTTTCAATAGTGGTAGCTGCTGTTAAATACATGAAAGGGTGCTAAGGCAGAGGAACAAGGGCTGGGTGGAGCACCTTCAGGCAGTCTGGGAGGGATTCTCAGAAGAGGTGACATTTAAGCAGAGACCTAAATGTGTATAAAGTGTCATGTGACATTTAAAGGAAGAGCAAGCGGCTGGTGTGGAGGAACAAGGAGGAATAGAATGAGATTAGGTCAGGGCGGCAGACAGGAGCCAGCTTGGGGCGCCCCGACGGCCCAGGTGAAGGATTTTAGCTTGTACTCAACTGTAACCTGAGAGTTTAAAGTGGAAGGATGGATATGACATGATTTCTGCTTTGTGGACAATGGGCTGTTGGAGCCAAGAGTGTACGCAGGGACACAGAAAGTTGACTCTTAAAGTAGGTTAATGATCACAGGGTTTAAAGGTAGGGTGGTGGCAATGGAATAGGTGAGAGGTAATCCCCTCAGTCTCCAGTTTGGAGGTTGACCCAATAGTGGGAGCTGATAGTGGATTAAATGTGACGGGGGTGGATGAATAAAAGGGGAGAAGAAGCATTTCTCCCAGGTTCTAAGACGTGAGGCTTAAGAGGTGGGTAGATGGCGGCGGTCTGTAGGGTACCCTGCAGATCGATGGAGAGCCAAGGCTCACTTTGCCACATTAAATGTGAGCTACTTATAAGACATCCAAGTGGAGATGCTGAATAGGCAGTTGGGTCCGTGAGTCTGAAGCTTAGAAGAGAAGTCGGGATTAGAAGTAAAAGTTTGGGGGGAGCCATTTGCATTTGGATGGAATTTCAGCTGCCAGCATGGCTCACTGACCCAGGGAGAGTCAAGCTGGAGAAGGGACAAGCTGAGGACAGAGGCCTGTGGCCGACGGGATGCTGCCAGGAGGTGGGAGAAGGAACCAGGAAGCACGGTGTCCTGGAGACCAGAGAAGGACACTCTTCTGGAAGGAGGGAGGGCAGTGGCGTTCAATTCTGTTGAAAGATCACGTGAGATGAGGACAGCAAGGGACCATTGGGTTTGGCAACACGAAAGCTGTACATAAGAGTACTCTTTGGCAAGAGTAGGTTGAGTGGCCCCTGGGAATAATCTAGGGAGCAAATGGGAGGTGGTGAAGTGGTCAGTGAGGACAGACTCTTAAGGATCCAACCTGGACCTGTGGTTGCTGATAGAGCTGGGGGCAGGGGGCTGATGCCCCATGTGGGGCTGACCCCCTGTGTGGGGCGACCCCTCTGTGTGATGCTGGAGGAAGGTATTGGGGGAGAGGCTAAGAAGTGACTATGGAGCCATAGAATTTCTGTTGTTGCTTCTCGGCCTGCCTGAGGACTGTGGGTGGCCCTGGGGTATCTATGGAGAGGGTCTGAGATCCCCAAGAGGTGGCACCAGACCTTGTCATTGACTTCTTGAAGCTAGTGAGGAAGGATTCCCTTTTTGCCCAGTGCTCGTGTGAAGGGCTCACCTGGTTGGGGCATTCCAGAGTTACACGTGGAGCCCTCCCTCCCCGACATGGCCATCATCTTGCCCTCACTTTTCGAAACTATGACAGTCTGGCCTCTGGACCCCTCCTCTGAGTGAGAACCACCACTAACCCCCCCCAAAAAACTTTGTTAAAAAATGATGGAGAAAAGCAGAACAACTCCTTCCTCTAGAATATCCTCTGGCCCTTGAGTAGTTTCTACCCTACCTTCCCTGAACTCATAAGTTTGGGTTAAAAACACACACATAGGTATCCAGACATGCAGCTGGGTAGGACCAGCTGTCACTCAGCAGTGGGTGGTTCTGTTTGCTGTGACGAGGAAGCCTGGGGGCCGAGCGGGTTTGGAGCCGTAAGTTGGAGAGAAGCTCAGCCCAGAGTAGAAACTCACAATTTATGGAATGAAAGAATGAATGAAATGCTGGTAGCAGGGTTGTAGGTGTCGAGCTGTATGTGTTACCAGCACAGTGCAGTGGAAAAACCTCCTAGGATGAGCAGAGATCCAGGCTCTGGCTGCGGGATGTATATTGTGAGGTGGGTGCCTCTGGCAGGTACTACGCCAGGTGCGTGCTTACTGCTTAGGAGTATAAGCAAGAATGTGCCTGTCCCTGAAGAAACGGAAAGAGTGTCATGACAAACCGAAAGGCCTGAGTGCTTGTCATAGTCCTGTCATTTATATGCCCTGTGACCTTGGTGAGATCCCTTAGGCTCTGAGCCTGTTTCCCCATTTTTGAAGGGGACAAATGTTAACTGGCCTTCCAGGCCCACAGGATAATTGTGGGCTACGTGTAAGGCCACAGATGCATGGATTGGAGATGCGTTGAGGCTTCTCTGTGTGATTTGAGGAACGAATGCATTTAAGTGATTCCGGTGGGGTTGAACTTGGATCTTTTCATGTGTGAGTGGAGAAGTAAAGAGGGGTTTGAAGTGTGTGTCCAATTTGTGTGGGGACTATCGATTTGGTTTCTCTTTTGCCTGGTGCATAACTGTGTGTGTGTGCACATGAGCTTGCACAGGCGTGCATATGCAAGAGAGAGGATTCTTCATGTACTTAAACTCTTACACATGCCTCTGCCTCCAGTATTTGAATATATGAGAATTTGCAATTAGATGTTAGAATGTGCTGCTTGTAGTGGGCGTTCATGATGCCTGTCTAGAGTGTGGGCTTCTATTTATATGTGCTCCCCATGCCTCTCGGCACCGCCACCTCACGTGTGCCTCGTTGCATTGCAGCTGTCGAAGCTGAGGGGTGCATTCAGTTGGGGAGCCCACAGGCGTCTGCACAGTGGTGTCTGCATCCGTTCTGTGGGTGCTCATGTGCATCACACCTCTGCCAGACCCTGAGGGAGGCTCAGGCCAGCTCCCCCTGCTTCCCCCTCCTCATGGAGTACCAGGCTCTTCAACAGATACAGAACATGACTGTTGGGCAGTGCTAATTTGTCTAGCATGGTCTCCATGGGTGGGTGTCATTTTTATCAGGAAAGGAGCAGCATCTGCCAACCTCCAGGTCTAGGCAGGGTCCATTGGGCCAGACTGGGCCTGTGTGCCAAGAAACTGGGGCAGGCTCTCTCCGCAGGTGTCTCAGATGCGTTTCCTCCACCTGAGCATTGACCTGAGCTGACAGTCTCACTTTTCCAGGACTCCTGTCTGCCTTTGCAGGTGGCACCTGCACCCTGCTGCTCTGCCCTTCCATTGCCTATTTGAAAGGGCACAGCAAGTGAGTGTGTGTAGAAGAGATTTTTTCCCTGTGCAGGGCTAAGAAGGTTAACACTGGGCTTTACCCAGCTTAACATACTGAACCTTCAAGGCCTCTGGCAGGACCACTGCATTATACAAATGCAGGCTCACCACTCGCATCCTGAAGTATGTGGACGGTGGCCGTGGAGTGGTGGGCCTGCCTTTGGCCGTGGGCTACTCTGTGATGTGCATGGCCTCTATGGTGTGCGTGGCAGAGTACTTGTCCACTGAACATTGTGTGAGGTTGGAGTGATAAGTGGGACTCACACCCATGTGACTGTGCTGTGCTATCCTAGAAATAATGGGGAAATATGACTCTTCACCTGATGTTGCAGGATTTCCATAGCAGGTCTCTGAAGGATATTTGGGTGGAGGTGTGAGTGCCTGTGGGGCATGACAGGTGAGCATCTGAAGTAGTCTACTCAATGAAATGAGAAATGGGTCCCTCGCCTCTGCTCGTTTGCTTCAAAATCTAGATCCACGTGTTTGCACGTAGCAAGGAATCGGGTCACTGGAAGGCTGGGAGCCTGCAGAGGGCAGCAGGCATGTGGAGAACATGTGGGCACATTGGGGGCTCTGTACCTCTCCCTGGAGACCGGCAGGTGGCTGTGGGGCTTGTGGTTGCTCTAGAGGTTGGGGTGAACTGAACCTGTTCGTTTTTCTTTCCCAGAAGAGACAGAAGGAGAAGACACCACATGTCGATGTGGGAGCCACGCAGCAGCCACCTGTATGTGTGGACCGGTTTGCGTGTTTGTGAGTGGTTATGTGTGGGTGCGGGGACACCGTGTCTTTGTCCTTGCCGTGGACAAAGTGGCACCAGTGTGCACATTAGTGGTGTGTGCGTGCGTGTTTCGTGCACATGGTTTGTGGATGTGCCCCGCTGGCCCTTTCAGTATGTGCTTGTCCCAGTGTGTGTCTCAGGTATGTGACCCTGCGCATTGCTCGCTCTGTGTGTGGCCTGTGAGTGAGCTTATGTCGGCGTGGCTGTACTTTTCACATAGGTAGTTGTGTACAGCCACGCATGGGCCTCCTTGAGCGCGTGTGTGGGCACATGTGAGTGTCCCCTTAGCAGTTTGTAGCTGTGCACGCACAGGCACATGTGATGAAGGAGTAGGTGGCTACCCTTCCGCCGCGTGAGCCCCGTGTACTCTCCTGTGTGCCACGTTTGTGTGTTCTCGCTACCCCATGAATGCTTCTCTTAGCCATGAGCAGAAATGCTCCACAGTGGTTTTGAGGATGAGCTGCTAGTGGTTTTTGCACAGGGTCCTCTGAGGTTTTAATCAGCTGTTGTGGGAGACCCACAGCACTCTTATTTTGTGAGGGTGATGCCAAGACATTTTGTAGCATGGATCTGCTTGTCACTGTCGTCACCCTTTGATGGTCCTGACCATTGTACTTCTCTGTCCTTGCAATCCCAGGCTGTAATCTGAGAGGGAAAGGAGAGGGAGAGCAGGCAGAAGAAGGGTCTCGGACCTTGAACTAGGGGCCAGTGGTGGGCATAGTGGGAAAAGTTTGATGCCCTGAAAGCAAATTAGAGTAGGGGAGTGGAAACCTGGTCACTTTGTACTTCAGCCCTGCAGGCCCCAGGGACTAGGAACTCGGTCCTGGGCTGACCCCACCCCCTCCCACTGCCCCAGCTACTGCGGAGCAGGGATGTGAGTGGGAAGCCCCATGAGCTGGGAGGCACTGGTCCAACCACCCACGCCTGCGTGGCCCCCTCTGCTCCTTGCGTCTTTTTGTGCTTCCTGTCTGCAGGTCCTGGGCTCTCCCGTTTGCCCCTTGCACCACGTGCCCCGCCCTTTTCCCATGGCTGCTGAGGGCTGCCCTCTCTGGCCTCCAGCTGTCAGGTTCTGACCATGGCCATCACCCTTTCCCCTTTGGCAGGAGGGAGCGGAGGCGCCGCCACCACATGTCAGTGTGGGAGCAGCGCACCAGCCAGCTGAGGCGGCACATGCAGATGTCCAGCCAGGAGGCCCTCAACAAGGAGGAGGCCCCGCCCATGAACCCGCTCAACCCCCTCAACCCGCTGAGCCCCCTCAACCCGCTCAATGCCCACCCCAGCCTCTACCGGAGATCCCGGCCCATTGAGGGGCTGGCCCTGGGCCTGGGCCTGGAGAAGTGTGAGGAGGAGCGCATCAGCCGCGGGGGGTCCCTCAAGGGGGACGGAGGGGACCTCTCGAGTGCCCTGGACAACCAGAGGAGCCCCTTGTCCTTGGGCAAACGGGAGCCGCCGTGGCTGGCCAGGCCCTGTCTTGGGAACTGTGACCCGGCCCAGCAGGAGGCTGGGGGAGGCGAGACTGTGGTGACCTTTGAGGACAGGGCCAGGCACAGGCAGAGCCAGCGGCGCAGCCGGCACCGCCGAGTCAGGACGGAGGGCAAGGAGCCTTCCTCCGCCTCCCAGAGCCGGTCGGCCAGCCAGGAGCGAGGCCTGGATGACGGTGTGCCCACCGAGGGGGAGAAGGACCGCGAGCCCAGGGGCAGCCACGCGAGCAGGGAACCCACGATCCAGGAAGAAGAGGGAGCCCAGGACTTGAGGAGGTAACTTAGTCCCAGGAGCACCCTGGAGGCACATAGCGTGGCTGGTGTTCTGCAGGATAAGCCTCTCTGAGCCTCATTTGGTAAAAGAGGTGATGCTAACGCACCCTTTATAGGGTGTGTGCGCATATGACAGGCAGTGGCATCTGTCCCCCTGAACACCAGAGTCTCTGTTCTGAGCTGTCTCCCATTGGGAGCGGGTCATGGAAGGATGGACGGAAATAGGGTGGTGGGCAGTGCCCACTGGGTGGGAGGCAGCAGATGCCCTGTGCTCCCCAACAGGGCTCCTCGGGTTCCCCTCACTTTTCCCTGCTTTGAAACAGCATCTTGAGATCTGAGCCCCAGCTCTGTCCTCTGTCTTGACAGGACCAATAGTCTGATGGTTCCCCGAGGCTCCGGGCTGGCAGGAGCCCTTGACGAGGCTGACATACCCCTCGTCCTGCCCGAAGCAGAGCTGGAAGTGGGGAAGGCGCTGACGGAGCAGGAGCCCGAGGGCAGCAGTGAGCAAGCGCTGCTGGGGGACGTGCAGCTGGACGTGGGCCGGGTCATCAGCCAGAGTGAGCCCGACCTCTCCTGCGTTACTGCCAACACGGACAAGGCCGCCACCGAGAGCACCAGCGTCACTGTCGCCATCCCTGACGTGGGCCCCCTGGTGGACTCGACCGTGGTGCACAGTGAGGACACAGTCTCTGTCCCCTGCTACCCCTACCACCCATGCCACCCAGTCTGGGGGGAGTCATGGCTCTGGAGTTACCCCAGTAAAGCTGCATGGAAAACCCCACTGGCAGGATGAAATCATCATTCAACAAGTGAAAATGGTGACAGTTTTATCCAAATTTGCAGGAAAAATAAGTTAGAATTTTCTCAATCTTAAGTTTAGCCCATAAAATGTCCTTAAGCCTTTGGCCGTGTCACTGCCCTAGAGACTTCAGAAAGGTCATGTGTGATTCTGTGCCCAGATATACACTGAGCTCTTTGACTTGTATGAATATCTGATGGCCTTTTCCTGGACTTCCAAGGTGCTCTGCCCCTGGACAAATTAGGGGACCCCTGATAGGGCAGAGATGATAGGAGGGCTCGGCACCCCTTGCTCTGCTCAGCGCGTGGCCTCCGGAAAACCTCTGTCCCTCATCTGGACTCTTTGTCATCTGTAAAGTGGGAACACTGGTGGGCTCTGAGGTCTCAGTACTAACACTATGAATCTATTACTCACCTGCTATTTTTCTCCAGTTCCCTCAGACAAAGGATGTTAATCCAGGAGCTCTTGAAAGGAAACAGGGCCAGAAAGCACTACACCTGCACCCCATCTCTGCCCTAACCCCTCCCCAGCCCTGTTCTAACCCCCTCCCCATCTCGGCCCAACCCCATCCTCATTGCCCAGCTAATCCCACCTGCTGCCCATGGTCAGTGAATGGTGACCACAGGATTCCATCTTTGCTTTGTTTTCCTCCCGCAGTACTGCTTCAACAAGTGACCTCTCCCATGTCCAGTGCTCCTGGGCTTGACTTGGTCATGTCTCAGGATCTCAGACTCACCACCTCTTTTGGAGTCTGTTCAATTTTATGCTCCAATAAATAAGTGTTTTGGACCCTCTTCTATGAGAAACAACATTAAGAAAGTTTGACCCTCCCTCTGTTCCCATTCTGGTGCCAGTCCCATGGCCTTGGTCATAGGTAAGAGCATGTTATCAGAGGGCTTTTGGATACTTTGGATGACTTATTTTAGAGAAGGTCCCAGAAGGGGCCGAACCTCAGAGCTTTGCTGCTTGCACAAGGTTCCAGGGTAGAGTCATCCACTGAATGGAGCGGTGGGAGAGGTTGACTGGACCCCTCGCCCCACTCGATGGTCTCGACCTCTCTGCCACTGGACCCCACTGTCACTCGCATATAGAAACAAGGAATAGCGGCCCCAAGAGCCCCATTCGGCTTGGCCCCTTCATCCCCTCAGTCCTGAGTGCAGTCTTGGGCCCATATTCACATGAATATTACATTCTCATCCTACATTAATCATGACCCGGAAAAGCACAGCCAGGAAGGCAGCTGCAAACAGAGGAATGGTTTCTAAAAATCTTCCATTGCAATGTGATTGCATTGAAAGGATATAAGATTTTAGATAGGAACCCATATTGGCTGCATGACCTTAGGGTAGGTACTTGACTTCCCTCACCTTCACTTTTCCTGTCTGTATAATGGGAACAATGATACATGCCACTCAGCAGGTATTGTGGTGAACATTCAGTAAGTGAATAAATGCAAAGAATCCAGATTTTAGATATAAATAAACTTTGTAAACTTGACAACAGAAACCACCCTTCTGTTACCCAGGGAAATGTGATAAGAATGAATGATTTATATGGCAAAGGCTATATCATGTAAAATTAGGACAAGGGTAAGGCTAGGAGGGGAAAGGGCAGAACCCAGTGTAACTAACAAACACCAGGATGTGTGCAGGGCACCTCGCTCTGCACTTTCCCGGAGCCCCTTCCCCGCCTCACCGTCCCATCCCCAGTGGGAAACGAAGGGCTCCATCCTCGTGTGCGGCAGGGGTTCTGAAGGCGCCCTCATGTTCCCCTTGCAGTCAGCAGCAAGACTGATGGTGAAGCCAGTCCCTTGAAGGAGGCGGAGACCAAAGAGGAGGAGGAAGAGGAGGGGAAGAAGCCAAAGGAGAAGCGGGAGACGGGCAAAGCCATGGTGCCCCACAGCTCCATGTTTATCTTCAGCACCACCAACCCGTAAGGCCCCTCGCATCCTCCCCGTCGCGCCGGGGTGGACAAGCAGGGCTTGGGTCCGGGCGGGGAGATGGAGGGATGCGGGTCCAGTCACCCCCCTGATGCTCCCCGGTGGCATAGACAAGACGCGCACAGCACACGGGGCGCTCCCGGGTTGAGGTGGATCATGGGACTGAACGGCCTCTGAACTTGTGCCCGTAGTCAGAAGAGTAAGACAAGAAAGCATAGGAAATGCGATGAGGAAGGGACACGTCACCTATTCTTCAGTCAGTGGGGGGGGCGGGGGGTCTACTTGGGATGTGTTACCAAATGGTCCATAGCTGAGACTCTCGAGCCTAGAATGGCTAGATCCTCCATTGGCATTTAAGAGTATTGATTCCCCTGCTTAATGCAGAATCCTTGTGGATTCTGAAAGGGGTGTGTTTAGGGGCATGAGATGGGGTTGGCAGAGAAGAGTCTGGAAGATTAGATTGAGGAAAGATGGAATTTTGAAAGATAAGCTGTCTCCTGCCCTTTAATTGAGCAAGATATACACATGGCCCAGCTTCTGGGGCTAGGAAGACAAGACAGGGCTTCCAGTGGCCACACGGGTAGTGTCTGGATGAGGCTCTGGGAAGGAAAGAACCTGGGCTGAGGACTGTCAGCCCCCCCCCCCCC